CAGATGCTCCTGATGGCCATAACGCTGAACAAAACAGGAAACGAGACAGGGCTGGCACATTCAGGAGCACAATGGGGTGGGCTCTCCTCACAGCCTGACCCTCCTGGGGTTGCAGGTTTAGAAGGAACGGTAAATGTCAGAAGATTAAAAGTTTTATTTATATTTGAAAACAGCTGATAGCCTTGGGCTGAACGGCCCCGAAGGCAACTCTCAGTCCTCCAGAGCTCGGTTGGCCACAAGCCCCGGGCTGCAGGAGGACAATGCACACTGCGGCGAGGCCTCAAGGATGAGGACAGTCAGAGTTAGGGGCTGAGGCCATCTGGGAGGCACAGATGTATGCCCCGACCTTTGGGAGGGTGGCTGCCTCTCATGGGTCCCAGAGATGGTTTTGTTCACAAGTCCCCTACAGGACCAGCCACCATTACAGCACTGGCTACTGCCTTGAGCAGGAAGAGGAGTCCTTCCTGTGTGAGTCCCAGCATGTGCATGGGTAGGGTGCATCGCTGCCATTTTGGAGGGCTACGTGCTCACCTGAGTCCACTCACACCTGCCCTGCTCCCTGCCTCCCCAAGACACTCCTTCCTCATGGTCGCTGTAGTTAAATTACACCCCGCGCCAAAGCAGACATTCTTGTGTCTTCTTTATCTCAGTATTCTCTATAGGGCACAGTTAGAGACAGAGGAGATGCTTAATGAATTAAAAAAAAAAAAGTTTAAAATCTCATAAGTTGCATGGCGTTGCTGTGGGGGCGGGCGGGCGGGCGGGGAAGGCAGCTCTGCAGTTAGGCCCCCCACACACCATTCCTGGGCCCATCTCTCCCCCATGATATTTCTTCCCTATTTGCTATGTCTCTTTTCCCATGGTCCACTTTTGTATTTATTTTGGATTTAACCTTTACAGTTTTTCCAGTGTGTCACAAGGGACCTCCCAAGGGGCATGTCTTGCCCCTGGGAAGTCTGTGTTATGATTTTAAAATCTTGTTTATGTGCAGGTGAAGTATTCCAGTCTAGAGCTGAGTAGCAGCCCTGTAAGATCTGCTGTCACTCAGGGAAGATAAGGCCTCTGACGAACAAACAGGTCACCAGGACCTGCTCTCTCAGTCCTACTTACCTGCAACATTTTCTGGGCCAACACTGTGAGCCTGGTCAAGGGTAAATGGTATTCTGTTTCTAGCATGTAGTGAGCACAATGCGCTTTGTTGACTTTCTCTCTGCTCCATCAGCAACAAGACTAAAAAGCAAACACGAACCCAGACTTAAAAAGCTGAGATGTGTGAATATGAAGTGACAGGAACAGCTGGATGTTCTCTTCGGAGTAGAACTTTCCTAAAAGCCGCGGATGAAAACTTTCCTCTCCTGTTCACAGTGACTTACATAACATAGCTAATAAATTTCAAATACCAATGACCTTGAAAGCAAACAGGATGATCACATCTAAAAATATTAATGCTCTTCTTAGAAGTCAAATGTTTGCTGTAGCAAGTAGTTTTTTCTTCTCTAGAACAATAAGGCAATACCGAGGCTGATAATCTTACCACTGTATCCAATAATTCTTAAACACTGGGATTTGATGTCAAATAAACATCTTCAATTTAGAGATGGAGGCAGCAGGCCATAGACTGAAGGCAGGGCAGAACTAGACATGTGAGGCAGCTCCTTTTCAATGACAATTTCTGTCTCCCAGGTCCTCCTTCTTCTGGATCAGGATGGACAACTGGAAAACACATTGCTTGCTTCAAATAGGCTTCCACTAGCTAGACACACCATCCTGCTGAAGCGAGGTCTCCTGGTAGAGGCGACCCATGGATGCTCGACCGAGAGTCTTCACTACGCAGCGTTTGATGGTCCAGGAACCCAAGAGGATGCAAGCAGAGCAGTGAGCGAAGCCTGGGCTCTGGGCTGCGTCTCCCAGGGATGCTCCAAGTCTTCCCACAGAACGTATACTGGGCCCAGTTCTCCCCCAAATCTCAGCCACAGATAATATCTTAGCTCCAAAATCACATCATCATGAAAACAAAACGCTGCAGTCTACTTGAGATCATTTTTGCTCTGATTAAAATTTTTATTGAACGCTCTCAAAATGTTACCAAGAAATAGTTTTTGCGAAAGGGGGAAGAATAGCTAACAAGCAAATTCAACCTGGGAGCTCCCTCTGCTGGTCTGCAGTAGGTTGATACGTTACAAACACATTCCCAGAGACAAATCTAATTTGCTGGAGAAGTGGACAAAAGACTGGTGTGTTGGGCTTTGCCTCAGGAGAGAAACACTAGAAGAAAAAAAAAATCCATGTCTCAAAACAGAGCACAACATTGCTGAGAAAAGCAAAATAATTTAAAAACTTCTCCAAGACACATAATAAGATTTCCAAAACAAAAACGGAATCATCAACCAAGGGGCTGCTCCGTTTCAGGCTTCCCCACTGCTCTACCTCCAGTTAATAACAATTCTCTTAGGCCCTTTCGGTGAAGGTTAAGTTCTGATTCCCTTGTCTTTGCCTCCAAGTCTCTTCTTACAGGCTTCTCATTTACTTAGAGAAGAAAGATCCAAGAAGTCATTGGAGTGAGGCCTTTTCAAAATTCCATCAAAGAATAAGTCTTTGGTGAGCCAGCATGGAGGCGAGGAAAGAGCAAGGCCTGCAAGTCAGGTGACCTGGCTCTAGTCATGGCAGAGCCACTGGCGACTTTGAGGAACTCTCTCCATCTTCTCCGGTCTGTTGCCTCATCTGTAAAATGGGTCAGACCAGTTGATCTGTAAAGCCTCTACCAGTTCATTCTATGATTCTCACAGTGGACAAAAAAATTTAAATAGCCATATTTGTTCATGAGTCTTTAGGATACAGAACCCAAGCTTGCACTGGGAATGACTCGAAACAAGAAGTGGGGTTGAGCACAACCTCACTGACATCGGGTGAGAGCTCCACCAACTCTAGGAGAGATGTGGCAAAGCCAAGTGGATTCCAGGTTGGGAAAGTCTCTAGATCGAGAAAGAACTCACAGGGGAGGGTGCCCCTGGGCAATACATCCCATTAAGTCAAATGGTTGAGTCCATCTAAGCGTGGCGCTGTCTCTCCCCATCCTTTCTCACAATAACATGGGCTTTCTAATCTCTGAAGATTCTTTAGCTCCTTTTCCCACCATATTCCCAGATACTATTTTTTATTTCATCTGTTATATGAATGAAGCAAGGGCAAATTACCCAGATGTCATGGCCAAAAGCCACCGTTCCTTTCTGGCCATTGTCAATTCTTGCTTTTCCAGGGTAATGAACGGTGAAAGGCTTTGTTGCTGATTAACCAAAGCCATGGATATTGAAAAGATTATGTGAACTTGGCACAGTTTCATGGTATTTATTAACATCTGCCTCAATTGTCAATTGATCAGTATCCAGGAGATCTAGCAAGAAGGGTGGGAGGAGGGGAGACATAGCCACAGGTGGTAGGGGTGGGGTGGGAGGGGCACACAGAGGGGGCTCCTTGAGTTGTCCCATGTCACCTACAAGGTGATCCCCAAGGCCCACTACAAGCAGGCTGGTGCCTCAGCAGATATCCACAGGTTTACGTTTTATCCCTTCTCCCTCTACCTGCCATTACGAGGGGGACCGAGCATTGACGTGGACAAAAGGTGGAAAGAGCAGCAGAGGAAGGAGAAGCAAAAAGCTCAGCTAACCTAGAAATGGGTAATCAGCCTCAGAATAGTCCTGTTACTTAAGGTTATTTTTTGTACAAGTCCTCCAGCACCACCATCTACATTTCTCTTCACTACTTTATTCCTCCTGACACAGTGGGCAGTCACTTGGGGCTGAGGCACCAAGGCCGTCTCTCTGTAGTTTGCCTGCATGGTGCCTGGGGAGCCGGTCATCCATGCATGTAAGGAGCACTGACAACTCAGCTGAGAGAACGGAAGGGTGTTCAGCCAACACCACTCCTGGCCCCATGGCCTGTGGGGGCCCTCACTGGGGGCTGCTGGTAGGAGTTTGTACAACACGATGAGTTCTGTACAACAAAAAGAATTTTATGTCAGAAGGAAGAGGTTTCTGGGAAGCTGTTTATTTCATCCAGCCTTATAAATAAACACTAAGCAAAACAAATAAAACTCCCATCTGTCTAGGCCAACAATTTTTTAAAAACCAGGCTTTCTTGCTTTTAGAGGAGTTACACGTGCAGGAAGACACATGACATCTACATTCTTTCTAATTTGCTGTTGGTCATCACTCTGAATCCTAACATTGATTACTACCATGTGCACTAAAAGCAAAGCTAAGAGAAATATTTTTTTCAATGGAAGGGAAAAGGTTGGTATCTAACAGTGATCTTTGTGAAGAAATAAGGGAATTTGTTTATAAAACTCAGGCTATTCTTAAGTAAAAAAAAAAAAAAAAAGCCGGTGAGAACAAAGGCCTCTACCATGACCTATAATTACATTCTAGACACTATATTGTACCTCCTTTTCTTCAGGGTTTCCTGAAAAATGAAAAACGAAGCCCTTCATCTTTTCTGGAACACATATATGGTAGCACAGTCTTCCTCTTGGAAACTCCCAACTCTCCTCTTTCATCACTAGATCTCATAGAACATGAGAGCAAAACACTCTCAATACGCGGAAACACACACAAACACAACTCCTGCCAACAAGTGCACGCCCTCTGCAGCCCTTCCGCACAACAAGGCACACGCACATCTATGCTCTGCGGCGCCCTCTAGCTGGCTGGAAGCTGGGGAGGTCAACCTGGGCCCAGTCTCTGGTGTGTGACATGAGGGTGAGGTCATTAAGGAAGAGAGAGGTGTCGGTCGGGGCAAACATCAGGCAGTGGGTGATGTCATTGCTGTCAGATGGCCCTCATAAGTCCTGGAGGAGTGCCAGCTTGACTTAGAGGGGGTCATTAATCTCCCGAAGGCGGCTCTGTTAGCTGGGTAGAGGTTAGTCGTACGGTGCGCTCGGGGAACCGGGTCGGAAGGGACCGGGGGTGGAGTGAGTGGAGTCGTGGCCGATGGATGTAAATTACCTGGGCATGCAGTGAAGCGGGATAGGTGAAAGCAGGAGGAGGTAGAGCAGGCGCTAGCTCCGCCGGGTACAGAGGGTACGGGGCCCACACCTCAGGGCTACTGGGGTAAAGTGCAGGCACTGTGAGCTCATCTGCAAGAAAGAAGAAGGGGAGAGTCAGTGGTTACCACACAGCTGCTTTCCAATCAGAAACAAAACACCCAGTAACCCCACGCCCCCGTCAGTGTCAGAAGTCACATTACTCTCATGCTTTTAATAACCTGTTGGCTTTGGTCCCCTAAACTCTAAGCAAGGGAATGGGAAATACGACATGACAAAAAGCAATAGGCATCTGGTGCCTGCCTGGCCTGCTGAGAGCTCAGGCCCAGGCTCTGCCTCGGACACTCTGATGTCTTTCCAACTGTAGCTGGGGGAAACCTGGAGCAGTGGGGACATCCTGCATGAAACAGCAAATGTGGTCCTCTAAGGGAAAGAGGAAGAAGAGCCAGTAGGAGATTGCTCGTGAAAACCCACCGCAGCAGAGTCTTTGTGAGAACAATGGTTTCCTGGCAGGACCCCAACGGATCAGAACTGTAGGATGATTGTGTTTATCAGTGTAATTAACAGGCAAATAAGTCATGACCATCAAGCATTTTACACTTAGCCCTCAGAAGCACAGGGCCAGACATTGTGCCTACAGGGCATTTAAGAGGTGAAAAAATCAGAGAATGGAAGTGAAAAGCCTTGAGTATCCTGATTCAAGTGAAGCTCCACAAAGATGCAAATAAGAATGTTCACAGTTGCCAGTTGCCGTTTACACTGACTATATTTTATTTCCTAGGGAAAAGTGAGTCAGGTTGCCAGCTGACTAGTCTAAATGTTCCTCGTGCATCTCTGATTCCATTCAGGTCAAGGCACAGTTTGCCAGATTGAAAGGCAAGTGTCCGGCCGGGCCTCAGAATGTATCAGGAAGCAATCCATTAAAGTAACAGCAAACACATGAGGGAGCATCTCAGCAAAGGCAAAAATAAAATCAGTCAATAGTTATGAATCTGGACCCCGTGAAGCAGCAATCTCAACATGCGCTTTTATCACCTGTCAAAATCCAAAATCACCTAGGTCAAGGGAGTTACCCAAGACTGCTGAAGGAGTCAGGAAAAGGTGACTCGATAAAGCCATTAGTGACTCCGCCATTCAGGACTTCCCAGAAGTCTACAGTACATGTGATCCAAAGAGAACAGTCACTTAACTCCTTCCCACCATCTGAGAAGCCACCCCAGCCCGCTCATTCCAGGTATCCCTCATCCTCCCCATCCTCCCCCACTCTGGCTCTGGGCAGAGTTTTCAATATGGGAAGCAGGCTCTAAACAGAAACCTGCTTAGCTGAGTGCTCTACGGAGCAGCCAGAATGCCACTGGGCCTGTGGGTGCATGTGGGTCTGGTGGGCAGGGGTAGATGAGGCTTTCCATAGCCAGCCAGCACAGCGGGAGCTTGGTGATAGGAGCTGAGAGCTGATTGACAACTGTCCATTCAGATGGCAGCTTGGGGGTCCCAACACTGTGGCATGAGATACTATGGCTGGCCAGGTCACGCTCTCCCTGATGCCTTCTCTCAACAAGGCAGTACAAATGACCTCCTCCGGAGGTGGAGTGGGAATACAGACTGCCTGTATATCTAGGCCAGAGAGCCTAGGCCAAAAGAGGGGACTGCTAGTCATTACTTGGAGAGGGAAACAGTAGCATCATAAGCCTCTTTAAAGTGATCAGCTCTACACCACCAGGTCTAGGTGTGACAGTGTCTGTAGTTTCTGTAAGGAAATTCCTTACAGGGGAGTCGAGAAACCGCCTAACAGACCTCCATTTCCTGTCATGATGAGCCCATATGATTTCCATTAGAGCAACTCCTGTGGGAGCCCCGCTCGTGGAAATCAGCTGCTGCCAGAACCAATGCCTCGAATCTTAAACAACCATTCTTAGGAATGACACGCTATTATTGTTGTTGTTATTTCCGCTACCGTGCTATTTCAAGACATTCTGAGTCTTTCTAAAGAGTCCAGAGTGTCTTAAGACCCTGCACACAATTTCTTAGTCCATGCTTGTCCAGCCCCACTGTGACAGCAAGAGACTAAACACCACCAGAGGGAATGTGCTTGGCCTGCAGCCCTCATCCAGCTGCCTAACAGGAACTGGCCAAGTGATCAATGGGTGCTTCCTTTAGAAAGTTTTAAAAATGAAATGTCTTTTAAGATATCCTAAAGAGATAAGTAATGGAGATATGGTGGAGTCAGCGTTTTGGCGGAATGACTTAACTTATGATTGCCAGGCATTTCCACATTTTCATCCTAAAACATTACTTTCCATTGGCTCGATACTGAGGCTCAAGAAATGATTCACTGATGAACATGTACACAAAACCTAGCCCAGCTGAATGGGGTATGTGCTTCCAAAGCCCCTAAACCCAAAGCTACCCAGTATAGTGAGGTAGTGAAGCAAAGGCCTGAAGGAGACTAGGGTGAACTTACACTTTATAAATCCCTTGATACATTTCATCTCTCCTTTCTCTTGTGAAGGAATCACAAGGAGTTACTACTGTAAATGCCAAGAGACAGGCAGCACGCAGTGGGGTTGTTCAGGAAGAGGAAGAGCTCAAAATGTGTCAACGAAGACGTTCCACGCTAGTGACACTGGGAGAGGCGGGGAGTGAGGGTGATTTCTAATAACAAGTTTTCAATAAGTTTTCAAGGGTCTGGGTCTTACTCAAGTCTGCCCCCTGGGACAGTGCAGAGACTGGCATTTAGTGTGTAATAATGCCTGTGGTTCTGAATGGTACCCAGTGGAAAATTCTGAAAGTTGTTTAAAGATATACCAGCATTTTCTTTGTTCAAGGAACTTAGAAAATATCCATAGGAACTAGATCTAAAATTTCTCAATCCTTGTAGTATTTGTCACATACACTAAAAAAACTGAGCAAAAGGAGACTCAAACCAGAGCAAATGTTACAGAGCAGTAATTTTCAAAGTTAAAAATACAAGCAGTGGAACCCTTTCTTCAAACTAATTTTTCCCTGAAACCCTTTTTAATAAAAGCGTAGCTATTTTGGTTGACTTTGTGGTGGGGGAGGAGGGTGGGATGGGGAGGCTGAAGGACCTCAATCCCTATAATAGTCCCCAAGGTACACCAGGGTTCCAGAGAAAACAGTCTGAAACCCGCTCTTACAGCTGCTCTCATGCAGGGACCAGTTTTTAAAGTACGCTCCTCTTCAAAAATCTCTGGAGTCTGAACTCATTCCTGCAGCTCCTGGAAACCTGTCTGAGAGGGGGAGGGCAGGGCGGGCACTGAATAGCCAGAGTGGGGGGAAGATACAAAGCACAGTGCCATGGCTGGGATGGAACAAGCAGGCTCTCCCGACTACCCAAAGCACCATGGAGTGCCAAAGGACTCCTCGAGTGAGCGTTTATGGCCTCACAAATAAAGTGCAGAAAAATCTGACCCAGGAAACAGAACTGGTAAAATAACAGAAGAAAAGTGAACAAACCAGGTGGCGCTGTTTCCTTCCTCCTCCGTGCTCCCAAACTATAACCATCTCTTCCTATCCGCACTGCAGCTCCCACAGTTCGCTGTCCTGTGAGTCAGGGCTTCTCCAAATGTGCTCCCCTGACCAGCAGCATCAGCCTCACCTAACAGGCCTGGCCACCACACTGCAGCCGGGACAACTTTCAAAATACACAAGTCAGTAATGTCACTCTCTGACTTAAAACTTTTCTGTGATTTTTTTGCTCTCTGGATAGTGTGTGAAGTCCACGTATCATGGTCTAGAACGCCCCATAGGATCTCGCCGTCTCTACCTCTCCAGCCCTGCCCTCGCCTGGCTCTCCTTTGTGGTCTAGGATCAGTCACTTTCAATGCGTGACCAGGCCTGGTTCTCTTCCGCTTCTAGGCTTCGTACGCACTTGTTCCCTCTGCCAGAGGGGTTCTTCTCTCCTCCCTCACCTGGCTTAACTCTCATTCGGCTTCCTGGGGCGGGGGCTCTGCTGCCTCCTGCACCTCCCAATCTCTGCAGTTACCTCCAAGATTGTAATTTCTTACTCTTTGCTTACCCTGGTGCCGAGTAGCATAGTGTATCAGAAAGCATCAAGAAATTTGCGCTATACTTGATAAAATTAAAGGAGAAAAAAAATATATGCTTACATCTTGTCCTTCAGAGGAGGAAATGATAAAACTGTAGGTTACTTCAATTCTGTGTGGGAGAGAAATAGGCACAGAAAGAGGATGGACGTGATAGCATCCAAATGCGATTCTTAAATAAGATTGCATTCCAACCCTATTTGAAGAACACCTTTATGTGTATACGCCTTAACACGCAGCCAAGAGCTTGCACATCCATTATCATTCTGGAGCCTCATGAAAAGCTCTGAGGAAAGGGACAGGAATGGGCGTCTCATTTTAACAATGAGGCAGGGTCTCTCCAAGGTCTCACAGCTAACTCACAGTGTCTGAACTGGAGTAAAACCCAGGTCTCCTGTCTCATGGTTCAGGTTCCCTTCCACGCACCATCCTGTCCTCTGTGCAGTGGGGACGCCCCCATTACTGGTGGTGGTGAGCAGTCCCTGGAGTGCAGGTGGTCTTCATCTCTAGGTTTACTGTACTCAGTTTACTAGGATAAACAGAGTCCTCCAGGACAGCTTGCCTGACTGATGGAGAATTTGGCCAGGAAAGAAGAAAAGCAGCCACGAAACAGAAGGCCCATATATGATGAAAAAATTCCATTTCAATGGGGGGAAAAAAAATCAATTTTGAAACAAGAGAAATAAATCAAGGATTCTATTAAGCAATCAACTCCCACTCACATAGCTCAGCAAATAGTTGATCCATGTCTGTTAGGCAAACCCTTCAAAAATCAGCCTTACGAGGCCTATTTGGGGGGACGTGCTCATCTGGTGCCACACTAGTGCAGTACACACTAAGCTCCTGCAGCAGGTTGAATAGTGTCCTCCCAAAATTCACATCCACCTGGGACCTCAGAACGGAACCTTTTTTAAAAGGAATTTTGCAGATGCCATTTATTTAAGGATCTCGAGATGATATCATTGTGGATTTAGGGTGGGCCTAAATCCAACGATTGGTGTCCTTAGAAGAAGGTGACGTGAGGATGGA